TATCCTTTTATCTAATCCCCTGAATACATGCATTCTTCACACCAACAGACTGGAAATGTGCAAGTACGTGTTTTTTGTTTTCATGCTTTTGTCTTTTAATGCAGAATGGAATCAAGACCCCCCTGCTAAACGAAGGCCGAGGTTCCAGAAATCGTTGCCTCATGAAGTGCAGCTTCATCCTTCTCTTCATGGTTTTATCTGTGGTATCGTTCATGCTGTACTACATGGACTTCAGCGATCAGAGCAGCTGTAAATCCAGCGGGGTGAGCGTTTGGCATATTTTGTTAATTTGTTCTAATTTTATAAGCACAATTCCTAAAGTTCTAAAACTTTGTTCATTGACTTTTTCCTGCTTTTGCTCTGAACCTCTGTCTTAGGGTGACCATGTTTCAATTTAGAAAAAAAGAGAAACATTTGTGCCGATTCGGAAACACTTTAAGGAAAAATTTAACATTGTTATTGGCCAATACTAGTCATTTTTTAACATCTGAAACTATGCTGATATGAAAAGCCAACATTTATTTTCATGTTGTTGGTGTTTGTGTGTTTCAGTAGCAGATTGTCCATGTGGCATTTATTCAGTTATGTGACATTTATGATAATGCACCACAGGATTATGGTGTGTTTAACTGAACCAGAGAAGCAATGTAGGTGGAGTGGATCCTGTTAAAAGTGTTTGGAAATATATACAATATTTAAGATATTTGTAAACAATGCCATAATAACAGGATTAGTATCAATCAATGCATCCCTCATGATCACTCTTCTGTAGCTTAGAAAATCAAGCTCTAACAATAATGGCTTGTCATTCTGGACAAAAATTGTATAAAAATCTGAAAATACATTCAATATAATAAAAATAAAACCACAATAGTCTCAAAAAGACACAGTTATAAAACAATTTTTACATTCCAGACGTTAGTTTTTGTCAGTGTACACCTCAGTGAATTTAATAGATGAACTCTCACTCTGCCTTTTTAGAGTCTTTGTGTCCATGTGAATTTCGCAAAACCTTTATCTCCCTCAGAAAGACACATGATCACTATGTCCACGTCACGGTGTGCTCCGCCACCCACTTTGCAGCATCTCCCCAAATGAGGGAAATTTATTTATTGTCGGTCTGTCAATGAGTAGCGCTCCACTTGCCCTTTGTAAATATCACCAGATGAGAACTAACCCAACTGTGGTTCTGGGAGAGGCTGTGGTATCCCACGTCAGCTTAAGTACACCAATTCATCCCCTGAAGAAGGAAGAAAACCCAGATATTTTCATCAATTAAAGAAAACCCGTCTGTCCCCCAGATGCTCTGGACAGAATGGAAAAAGTGAACATCATGTCAAAGGAAAGGAAGACATTTGGTCACCCTAAACTCTCTGTCCTCTGCACACGTCCGAATCATCTCATCCTTGTCTTTCTAACTGTCTCTAACTAATTTCTTTTGGTAATTTGGTGAAAATCTTAACTCTCATTTTCAAACCCTCTTGCTGCCATCTTGTTTGTGTCACTGGTCCGACATCTTGGTCACAGTGGCAGCAAATATTCTGGTTTGCTGTTCCACTGGTCTGTCAAGACTGACTATTTCTTTTCTTGTTCTGACGCACCTCCACTTCTAACACTGAGTACTAGATTAACGGTGTGTACATTGTTTTGTGCAAATAAACTTTGTAGGATGTATTTGAACTTATGCATTGTCTTTTGATTTCACAGAAACTCTGCATTTTCAGAAAGGTGTGTACACACTCCGTCCATTTTGCTTTCTTTAATCAACATGTCTGTTTTATCTTAAGTTCAAAAGGAAACACCCATAAGATAGACTGAACAGGAATAATGATCAAACAGTGACCAAATAATATTATATGCACTTTCCAAAACCAAGTAAAGCTAAATTTATCATTTAAAAATATATTCTTTAAAGCCTTATTCCTGATTCAAAAAGTTTGGTATTTGTTTTAAATCTTAGCTGAAAATTATCTTTAAACATCAGCTTGATTTTTTTCTTTGTTATTTTCTGCAAGAAGTTATTTAAATCTGTTCCACCTACAATTTGTCAACAATGTAAACTGTGACAATGCAACTGTCATTTTGTTGGTGGCATAAATTGATGAATATTTATTGGGGGAAAAAAACAACATTCAGAAATCAACAACACACAGGGAGCCAGAGCAGAGAAAAGAAAAAAACAAACACAGGAACCCAGGGACAAAAGCCAGCGGGGTGAAACGGGAAAATAAAAATGATCTTGGTTCCAGAAGTAATTGTCTCATAAAACGTTATCTATTATTCAAACTACTCTTCAACCAAGACAAGTCCTAACCTTTCTGGTATCACACCTTTTCGGTTTTCTATTGACCTAAAATACTTCTTTACAAATATATCTATTGAACATTTTATTTATTTATAGCATTTATTTTATGTTTAGTTCTCCTTTGTGTTTTGAATCCAAACAGTTACTGAA